AATTACTATAGCATTATCATAACACGTAGAGCCGGAGAATGATCATTCAAACTATTGTAGTGCCGAAGCACCGTACCTGAAGGTACCATTTCATTCAAACATTTATCGAAAATTAGATTTGAAAACGAATGAACACTAGCACCTTTACCTACCTTGAATTTTTTTGGATAAAAGAACAAAATGTATAGAAAGCTTTCCTTCTTCTCACCCTTGTTATTCCTTAAGCTTAACTTGATATGAAATATATTTTTTTTTGAGAGAAAATGAGATGAAATTCTGATTTGAAGAGGAGTGTAGTGAAAAAGTGACCTTCCACTTCTATTACCTTTCTTTTTAATGAAAAATTAAGTGGGGGAGTTGTATTATCATTAAATTTATTAAAGTTAGCCTTTAACTAAGAATTTTAAGAGTCTAAGCTATATAAATAATTCATATGAAAGTTTTATAAAAGAACATCTACATGGTGATTTGAACCTGGGTTGCCTATATGAAATACCATGTAAATGACCATTGTGGCAACCCAGTTATTCATTAAATCTTTGTAATCAATTTTACTTAAACTTAATCTCTTAAATTGTGAGCTTTTAATTAACTTATGACTTGGGCTTTCGTAATCTTACATGGGTCGAGCTTCCATAGGTCGTTTCTAAAATGGGTTAGGCTCGTGGTGCTAGATCATCACAAAATATTAGCATAATTCCATTTTATTTTTCTCGGCTACTATAGGAAGGACCAGATCTCCTTGGATTTAGTGTTTTCTCCATATTAATGTATTTTTCAGCTCAGGTAAGGAGCTCGGTCACTGTATGCGGCGGGGTCTTTGATAAGGATATCTTGAAAGCTTCACATCTTATGGTGTAAGTGAAGGCAGAGATAGCCGTTGTGATGTGCAGGTCGGGTATTTGAAGCCTTTTTTTGTTAAACCTCATCATAAATCCTTGTAGGGTTTCATTTGGTCCCTAGTGAAGTTGCATGAGAGAGGCTACAGTCTTTCTGATTCGCTTGCTAGTTGTAAAGAAGGCTGAGAACTTATCAGCTAAATCTGAGAATGAGGCTATGGAGTTGGGCTCTAATGTCGAGAACCAATCCCTAGCAGCATTAGTCAGCGTTTGTGGGAAGGCTTTGCACATAACCTGATCTGGCGCAACTTGCAAATTCATGACATCAGTATATACATTAAGATGGTTGATTGGGTTGGTGGTCCCGTCATACTCTTTAATGTGAGGATATTTGAATCTGTCGGGCAGGGAATATGACAACATCTCCAGCGTGAATGGAGTGTTAGGGGTAAAACCCGCTGGCCCCCAAGCATTCCGTTGCAGGCCAGCTGTAATTCCTTCTTGAATGATCTGGACAATCTCATCGGAATCCATAGCAACTGATCTCGAGCTCGAGGCCATATTATGAATACTCGAGGTCCCTACTCCGCCAGTTGCGGGATTTGGTGGTCGGGCTCGAGCATCAGCCATAAAACCACCATGCTCTGCCTGTATTGGTAACAGATGCAAATTTCTTTGACTTAACAGCTGTGTTAGCATGACAACCTGCTGATGTAGCTCTTTGAAGACTTCCGTTGTGACGACTGCTTGTTGGGGGTGCGGGCACACCTGAGGACTTTTCTTGAGGAGCCGGTTGATCTTTAGTAGGATGAGGGACGGGAGCGAAAGAACTTGCGGGAGGAAGACCTGATCATGTATTAACCATGGCTTTTGGTAGCGGTTCCTACAGACAGCGCTAATGATGCTACCAAAAATTGTACTTATTGATTTTCTGAGCTCAAGGACATTGGATGAGCACCATCGTAGTCTTCCGGTACCTGAAATAAAGGCAACGATATGTGTTCTCATCGTCCCTCCGATGCTTAAGTCAGAAAGGGAA